GAGTTTCCTGTTGTTCAACATAATTGCGAGTCAAATTCATTTACCTACACATCCGAACAACTTTCCTCATTAATGCCGTTGTCAGTCTCATCTGTGCTTTATTATGATGTCTTGGAAAGCATCTTTTAAGACCAATTTTAAATAGTTCAGAAATCTCGCGCGTCATTTTACTTATACAATGTAAAGGATGGTGCTCAGTCTTAGAATATTAAAACAATATATATACAAACTTAGGACTAATTTGTACAGAACAGCGGCTTGGTCATTAGACTTCAACTAGAATAAAACTGTCCTCGTTTTCTCCCTTTGGAGGTCATGAAGGTGCGAGGTTCGACACTCACTACCTGTGGTTAATGAAAACAGACCGATCTGTGCTATCATGGTTGTGTCTTTAGACAAGACATTTACCCTAATTACTGTGGATGTCATACGAAGGTTTCCCATATGTTGTTCAGTAAGGTAGCCACCAGGCCCCACTTGTATAAAACATCTCAACTTGAGATTTCTTCAAGTCGAGATTTTCTTCAGCTAATATCTCCTTGAAAATATCTTGTATGAAAATTCCTCAAGGAATTTCAGGACATCCTAGCCAATGCCTTCCTCCTGTTCCTTGAGAAAATTTTATACAATCCGTTTTTGAGGAGATATCAACAGAGGAAAATCTCGACTTACGGAAATCTCAAATTGAAATGTTTTATACATATGGGGCCAGATCTGGGCTGTTAATGCGGCGACATACACAACAAACTATGAAGAATTGTTCAGCCTCGCACAAAAAAGTTCCCCCTGCGGTTATCGATAATAAGAGTATGCTTTTAACGCCGCCCAGGAGTCCTTATAAGCTCAATTATACATAACATCATTTGGCTAGTGTCATTATTTTTAATTTTATACAAGGACTTCTAAATTTCCCTTAATCTGAAATTTAATAGTCATAGAAGAATAGTCTGGAGATTGGGCTGGAAATAGAAGACAAGGACCTCCTCCACCACCGGAAGTCAAGACACAGCGCCACAAGATCAACCATTAGACCAGAGGATCGTCTCCAAATTTCAGACCAGTCCATCCCGAGATGACTCCAACCCATGAGGGAGCACCCCCTCCCCTTTCTCACGACGCCAGAGAATCGACTCTTGTCAATTGGACAACGCCCGCCAACAGGCAGAGTCACGGAGACGAAAAACCACCACCACCACCACCACCACCACCATCATCATCGTCATCATCATCATCATCAACAGCAAACCAAACAGCAGCGGAAAGCATTGTAGAGTGACGACAGTGTACAACAGTTTTACTCCGACGTGTTTCAGTATCTCTCAAATTCCTTACCACGGACAACCGTAACTGTGCTGACTGGCATCTTAGGGTGTAGTTACAACAATACATTAAAGAAACAATTGATATTTGCGTATGTGAGGCTGGGTTGATGGAATTGTGGAAAGACCAATTCCGAAGGACAAGAACAATAGATGACATTTAAAAAGTCCATTTCCACAACACTGTGTACTTGATATTCAAAACAGTTTCGCTCTGTGTGAAATTGAATTGTGGAACGATCTAGAAGAAAACAAAAAGATTGGTCATAAAAATTTATTTATTTATCATGCAATTAAAAGTAACAAATTCATTGAAAAATTGTGTTACCAATGTATTCTTACTGTATACAGTATATCCCATGTAAAGGATTATAAATAATCTTGTACAATTATTCAACTTAATCTTAGATAAACACACAGTAAAACATTATCATTCATTTCTTAACTTTCTGCTCTCTTTTCATCAAGGTTAAAAGGAGTAAAATTCGGTCAAATGCTTTGAAAGAAAAGATATACTTTAACTTTGCTCGTTGATTTTGATGGCGATAGATTCATACTCATTTTCTGGATTAACACTGGCTGCTTCTTTAAGATAAAATGTAAATATTGTACAAGTTGAGTATATACTGTTAAATCCTTTATTTTCGTTTGGCTTATTTGTCGTGTTTCTGTCTTTTTCGTTTTGGATCTTTATTTCGTGGGCAATTGATTTCGCAGAGAAAATGTAGCCTAGTTAATCTACTTAAACACATTTCAACAGATTATGAACATATGGATTAAGATTACCCATGAAATAAACAAAAATAAAACACACACGAAAATAAACGATTTTACTGTAGACTATTTCTGCTCTATGTAAACAAAACCCCTGTTGTAGCCCACTCTGTCCTGTTGTAAGTACCCCCGTTATAACCCACTCTGTCCTGTTGTAAGTACCCCCGTTATAGCCCCACTCTGTCCTGTTGTAAGTACCCCCGTTATAACCCACTCTGTCCTGTTGTAAGTACCCCCGTTATAGCCCCACTCTGTCCTGTTGTAAGTACCCCTGTTATAGCCCACTCTGTCCTGTTGTAAGGACCCCATTCCTGACCCCTTACTTTACACCTTTGCTCTATAGCAGTCGTCAGTGACGTCCCGATAAGTGTCCTGAACAACAGCGTGTAATCTGTCCTCCTCTGTCTGACCGTCTCTGTCCATGTATGAGAGGGGATATACATTCCTATCACATTAGTTGCTCTTTAGCAATCAAACCATGATTTGTTAATGCGGGAAAGTTAGAATATGTGTTGAAATGACACATACATATTTAATGAAATCGGCTATGTGTGGGAGGCCCCTGGATAATCACCAACATATACTGGGGCGTTTCTTGTGATGGACGGGCGTTAGCACGTGCTTTCCATTTCGCAGCAGAACCGATTGATGTTGGAATAAATCCACAGCTCTAAATGGTTACACAAGATCAGATCTGTATAGTATTAGGGTTTACCAGCTAAAAACGATTCATCAGTAAAGTAGATGTAATATTAATCTTCCTGAAACAACATTGTATGCTGTGCTTGATGTTTTAAATGAAGGAGTGGAAATAGACTTTGAATCCTTCTCTCATATTTTTTCGATCTCTGGTCAACAATTTGATGTTTCTATTTAAAACCCCAGTACACCTCGGGGACATATGTCTACGTTCTACAGTAACCACTGTGTTATTTCTCTCTACCGTACGTTCTCTACAGCCTACAGTAAAACAGTGTGTTATTTCTCTCTACCGTACATTCTCTACAGCCTACAGAAACACTGTGTGTTATTTCTTTCTACCGCACATTCTCTACAGCCTACAGTAAACACTGTGTTATTTCTCTCTACCGTACGTTCTCTATAGCCTACAATAAACACTGTGTGTTATTTCTCTCTACCGCACATTCTCTACAGCCTACAATAAACACTGTGTGTCATTTCTCTCTACCGTACGTTCTCTACAGACTACAATAAACACTGTGTGTTATTTCTCTCTACCGTACATTCTCTACAGCCTACAGAAACACTGTGTGTTATTTCTTTCTACCGCACATTCTCTACAGCCTACAGTAAACACTGTGTTATTTCTCTCTACCGGACGTTCTCTATAGCCTACAATAAACACTGTGTGTTATTTCTCTCTACCGCACATTCTCTACAGCCTACAGTAAACACTGTACGTTCTCTACAGCCTACAGTTAACACTGTGTGTCATTTCTCTCTACCGTACGTTCTCTATAGCCTACAATAAACACTGTGTGTTATTTCTCTCTACCGTACGTTCTCTACAGCCTACAATAAACAGTGTGATATTTCTCTCTACCGTACGTTCTCTACAGCCTACAATAAACACTGTGTGTTATTTCTCTCTACCGTACGTTCTCTACAGCCTACAATAAACAGTGTGATATTTCTCTCTACCGTACGTTCTCTACAGCCTACAATAAACAGTGTGATATTTCTCTCTACCGTACGTTCTCTATAGCCTACAGTAAACACTGTGTTATTTTTCTCTACCGTACGTTCTCTACAGCCTACAGTAAACACTGTGTTATTTTTCTCTACCGTACGTTCTCTACAGCCTACAATAAACACTGTGTGTTATTTTTCTCTACCGTACGTTCTCTACAGACTATATTAAACACTGTGTGTCATTTCTCTCTACCGTACGTTCTCTATAGCCTACAATAAACACTGTGTGATATTTCTCTCTACCGTACGTTCTCTACAGCCTACAATAAACAGTGTGATATTTTTCTCTACCGTACGTTCTCTACAGACTACAGTAAACACTGTGTGTTATTTTTCTCTACCGTACGTTCTCTATAGCCTACAATAAACTGTGTGATATTTTTCTCTGCCGTACGTTCTCTACAGACTACAATAAACACTGTGTGTTATTTCTCTCTACCGTACGTTCTCTACAGCCTACAGTTAACACTGTGTGTCATTTTTCTCTACAGTACGTTCTCTACAGCCTACAGTTAACACTGTGTGTCATTTCTCTCTACCGCACATTCTCTACAGCCTACAATAAACACTGTGTGTCATTTCTCTCTACCGTACGTTCTCTACAGACTACAGTAAACACTGTGTGTTATTTCTCTCTACCGTACGTTCTCTATAGCCTACAATAAACACTGTGTGATATTTTTCTTTATAGTAAGAATTCTACTGCATACAGGAAATACGGAGTGTTATTTCCCTTTGGAATGTCTCCCATATTCATTTTAATTGGAACGTTTGCTGCTTTCGGTGCAAATATATTATGTTGTTTGATGTATCGTACAACAAGAGATACGAGATCTAGTACAGTTTCATTAAAGACTCCTTTTGAAGACGTTGTGATGTTTGTATTTCCGACTGAAGCCAAACTTACAGGACATTTTAACACATTAAGTGTCGAGCCCCCAAGTGACTGTCGTTCATACACACACACACACACACAGAGAATTATGTAATTTTCAGAAACATGTTTATTGATCAATGGTTGATGTATACTTCATATCTATTAATTAGTGATCGGGGAAACAGAGCATTACAGTGAGGCGATGGCATTTACATCAGCAATGTATAGTTCGCTTGCGCGTGCCGCATCTCAAGTGAGACGCGTCACGTGATAGGTTGGGAAAGTTGGAGTAGGCAAACTAAGCTTGAGGGATTTTACATGCATCAGGAAACCCTGGAAATACCTGGTGTTCTCACAGCAACTATAGTGTTGGTATATAAATAGTTTGTCTACAAATATATAGGATTAACGGTTCCATACTGGGACAGCGTGACTACATAGGATTATCGTGTCTACATAGGATGAAAGTGACTACACCTGTATACAGTATCTACATCGGATTCTACATTATATTAAAATGTTAGATTAAAGTATGATTGAAGTGTCTACACATGTATAATGTATCTAGATAGGATTTAGGTGTCTACACACGGACAATATAGATATTACTTGGGTATCAGACACTCCTATATAGTAGAAACGTGTCTTTACAGAACTTGTAGTATTTTGTTTTCACAATATATAGGAGGTAATCGCCTGCTGGAAAATAAAGTGTCCTGTGTAAACAGCGTGTATATGCAGCTGATTTAACGGAAATAACGCGTTTTCATGGAATAATAGAATACTTTGTACATGCCTGTTGGTATTTGGAATTGTGAACAATCTACATACCGGATTATCGAAATCACAGGTAAGTTAAAACTGACTTATATTTCTGTATATCATTGATTAGAGTTCTGTAATATTTCATACATCACTTAAACAATTTTTGTACAAATGGACATTTAACTAATATTACGTATCAAAGCTCGATTTTTTTCTTCTAGAGGTGGGATTTTGTTCGAGTTAGGGTCTATGATGCCTTACTCTATAAAAAGCCAGTAATTGGGTTTTGTCACGGTCAGTGTAGGTACATCGCTACTGTTTTGTCCCTCGTTACACTTTGATGGGGGGATAAAACAGCCCCGATGTTTGATACCAACACCACATGCCACAATTAAAATTTCCTCCTTGTAGGGCGGTTTGTATACGCCCCGCTGCCAATGTTAAAACACAATCACTTCAAATCATTGTATGACGTTTCATTTTAAATCCCCCCAGATTTTTTGCTCTATTTTTGTTGAACTTTCTTGTAGCTGAAGGCTAAAGTGGACTTTTGTAACGATTGTGCTTTACATGTATCCTGGAGCGTGTGAACAAATTTTATCAGGTCTTTTGTATTTTTATTTCATTTAATGATATCAAAATTACGCTGAAGTCGGCAGGAGGAAAAGTGCGCTATCTCCTTATTTTACGGAGAGAAAAAAACACGGATGTCTATTTTTCTAGACGAACAAAATTTTATCAAAGGGCGAACGTTCCCATAAATCATGATAGCTTTGAAACCTGGTTTCTATAACAACAGAAAATCTAGATACATACACGAGCATTTGAGTTCGTCTCGTCCGATAAGGCATATGATATGTAAAGTTACAAGTATCAATGATAACTGGACTACTCCAGTTTGTCGGATACTGGTGCATGTGACCCACCGCGGACAGAGATGTGATGTGGCCCTGGGTGTGGACGTGTGCACCTGCCATAGGGCTGGCTGTACTGTCAGGAATCTTCATATGTTGTTTGTAATGTTTTACGTGTTTGTAATGTTGTTTCACGTGTAAATTTTATATAACCATTATGTTGACGACTTCATGATATTCACTCGTGAAAGAAATGAATATCAGGAAAGTTTTGAGGCACATTGTATAGAATACTGAGTAGAATTATCAACAAAGGGAGGTCGACCGAGGGATGACAGTCATCAATACTATCATGTACTGCTAATGAGAGGATAATTAGTTTTCCTGATCTGACAAATATCTGTAGACACAAAGCCGTGATTATCAATAAAAGCATCATAAGAGAGTTTGGTATTATCTCTAATGGTAGCAGAGCACCTTTAGACACGTACGTATGATTGGCTTAAAGAACGCCCAGGTATGTACCAACAAACGTGTAGGACGCCACGAGATATGTATGTAGATATGTATAATTACTTCACAGTAATTAGCGGAGAGTTTGCAAGGTCTACCCTTCCAACCTCGGGCCAACACTTAACGTCTTTCCCATTGATTGTCAATCATATGTATGCACTGGTGAAGCCAACAGCCACTTGGATCTCACAGCTCCACCGACCAACTGATGTCCCGTGTAACGAAGTAATAATAGATATCCTGATTGGATGTAAGTATAGTGCATAACCTTCTAAGTGAAATTACTCGCATTGCGCACGCGCCTGTTAACAAGATGTGTGCTATTTTCCGGCTCGTGCACATCTGACGATCCTGCTGCTCCCTCTATTCTGAGAATCTGTTTCCTTAGGAAAAAATAAACGATAGATTTATTAATGATTAACCATCCTCGTCCTATCTGTTCTGTATCAAACTCGCAATTAAAAAACAAAACAGGAAGCCGACGCGTCAAGGAGTGAGGCGATTACACTCGGCCCTTTCCTGTCAAACCGAATTGTTGGTGACAGGTGTTGTAAATGGTGCGTATCCCCCAATGGACGTGAGTAAAATTGCCATTGATAATGCCTTAGTGTTTCTAAACAAAGAGCCTATGATGAGAACACCTGTCAAAAGTAATCAATGAACCAGGTCCATTGTGAATATCGATTTGCTGGTCAACAAATAATTATAACATTTTTATAACTACAATATGATGTTGTGTTCTCTCCGTCTTTTAGTCCGGCCCATATTTCTGAGTTATAAGTGAACCTGGTCTGGAGGATAATAACAATCAGCTTCTTTTGATCTCAATATTCCGTAATTAGGTTCTATGTACTCTATGTATTCATTACCTTCGACAGATACAATTTTCTTTAGACTAGTCCAACTTTCCCTAAACATAAATGAAATCGTACCGGAAGTATCAGTCAGTGATTAGTGGGCGTTACTACTGAAGCAGTGGGAACGACGCCTACACCACCATCTCTGATTTGACCAGATCCATCTCTCATAAAAAAGTACTTCTGAATTTCTGATTATTAAAGGTAGCTTTTGCATTCTCCCGCGTTCTCGATCATAGTTGTCTGGATGTCTTACCTTTGACAATATCTATTTAGTCATTCAACAATTACGACACATATCATGGACGTACAATATATTTCGAGTGAAAACTAAAACTAGTTCGAATAATATATAATTTCATTTCCTTTCCCCTTATCGACCAATATTGGTTGAATGATTTTGTCAGTGTTCGGCCGCTGTCGACCAATATTGGTTGAATGATTTTGTCAGTGTTCGCCCGCTGATGAACAATATTGCCTGAATGATTTTGTCAGTGTTTGCCCGCTGATGAACAATATTGGTTGAATGATTTTGTCAGTGTTCGCCCGCTGTCGACCAATATTGGTTGAATGATTTTGTCAGCGTTAGCCTGCTGTCGACCAATATCGGTTGAATGATTTTGTCAGCGTTAGCCTGCTGTCGACCAATATTGGCTGAATGATTTTGTCAGTGTTCGCCCGCTGATGAACAATATTGGTTGAATGATTTTGTCAGTGTTCGCCCGCTGATGAACAATATTGGTTGAATGATTTTGTCAGCGTTCGCCCTCTGATGAACAATATTGCCTGAATGATTTTGTCAGCGTTCGCCCGCTGATGAACAATAATGGCTGAATGATTTTGTCAGCGTTCGCCCGCTGATGAACAATATTGGTTGAATGATTTTGTCAGTGTTCGGCCGCTGTCGACCAATATTGGCTGAATGATTTTGTCAGTGTTCGCCCGCTGATGAACAATATTGGCTGAATGATTTTGTCAGTGTTCGCCCGCTGATGAACAATAATGGCTGAATGATTTTGTCAGCGTTCGCCCGCTGATGAACAATATTGGTTGAATGATTTTGTCAGTGTTCGCCCGCTGTCGACCAATATTGGTTGAATGATTTTGTCAGTGTTCGCCCGCTGATGAACAATATTGGTTGAACGATTTTGTCAGTGTTCGCCCGCTGTCGACCAATATTGGTTGAATGATTTTGTCAGTGTTCGCCCGCTGATGAACAATATTGGTTGAATGATTTTGTCAGTGTTCGCCCGCTGTCGACCAATATTGGTTGAATGATTTTGTCAGCGTTCGCCCGCTGATGAACAATATTGGTTGAATGATTTTGTCAGTGTTCGCCCTCTGATGAACAATATTGCCTGAATGATTTTGTCAGTGTTCGCCCGCTGATGAACAATATTGGTTGAATGATTTTGTCAGCGTTCGCCCGCTGTCGACCAATATCGGTTGAATGATTTTGTCAGCGTTCGCCTGCTGTCGACCAATATTGCCCGAATGATTTTGTCAGTGTTCGCCCTCTGATGAACAATATTGGCTGAGTGATTTTGTCAGCGTTCGCCCGCTGTCGACCAATATTGGTTGAATGATTTTGTCAGTGTTCGCCCTCTGATGAACAATATTGGCTGAGTGATTTTGTCATGTTCGCCCTCTGATGAACAATATTGGCTGAGTGATTTTGTCAGCGTTCGCCCGCTGTCGACCAATATTGGTTGAATGATTTTGTCAGTGTTCGCCCTCTGATGAACAATATTGGCTGAGTGATTTTGTCAGTGTTCGCCCTCTGATGAACAATATTGGCTGAGTGATTTTGTCAGCGTTCGCCCGCTGTCGACCAATATTGGTTGAATGATTTTGTCAGCGTTCGCCTGCTGTCGACCATTATTGGTTGAATGATTTTGTCAGTGTTCGCCCGCTGATGAACAATATTGGCTGAATGATTTTGTCAGTGTTCGCCCGCTGATGAACAATATTGGTTGAATGATTTTGTCAGCGTTCGCCCTCTGATGAACAATATTGCCTGAATGATTTTGTCAGCGTTCGCCCGCTGATGAACAATAATGGCTGAATGATTTTGTCAGTGTTCGGCCGCTGATGAACAATATTGGCTGAATGATTTTGTCAGTGTTCGGCCGCTGATGAACAATATTGGCTGAATGATTTTGTCAGTGTTCGCCCGCTGATGAACAATATTGGTTGAATGATTTTGTCAGCGTTCGCCCGCTGATGAACAATATTGCCTGAATGATTTTGTCAGTGTTCGCCCGCTGATGAACAATATTGGTTGAATGATTTTGTCAGTGTTAGCCTGCTGTCGACCAATATTGCCTGAATGATTTTGTCAGCGTTCGCCCTCTGATGAACAATATTGCCTGAATGATTTTGTCAGTGTTTGCCCGCTGATGAACAATATTGGTTGAATGATTTTGTCAGCGTTCGCCCGCTGTCGACCAATATTGCCTGAATGATTTTGTCAGCGTTCGCCCTCTGATGAACAATATTGCCTGAATGATTTTGTCAGTGTTTGCCCGCTGATGAACAATATTGGTTGAATGATTTTGTCAGCGTTCGCCCGCTGTCGACCAATATCGGTTGAATGATTTTGTCAGCGTTCGCCTGCTGTCGACCAATATTGCCCGAATGATTTTGTCAGTGTTCGCCCTCTGATGAACAATATTGGCTGAGTGATTTTGTCAGCGTTCGCCCGCTGTCGACCAATATCGGTTGAATGATTTTTTCAGCGTTCGCCTGCAGTCGACCAATATTGCCTGAATGATTTTGTCAGTGTTCGCCCTCTGATGAACAATATTGGCTGAATGATTTTGTCAGCGTTCGCCTGCTGTCGACCATTATTGGTTGAATGG